GACTGAATGTTCCTTCTAGTACTACCTTGAATTTACTCGATGTACAGACCCTCCAACAGTTCATTGCTTTTGTGTTCCTCTATTTCCACGTGACGAACACTTCTTTCTTCCATGCCATTCTTCGATCTGAAGCAGCACCGAGCATAGTGATTTCTTCCATTACATTTGTGACACGTGGCTCCATAGGCCGGACATTTTCCCCTTTCATGAGACGCTGCACAGAATTTGAATTTCATTATTCTACGGCAGTCTTCGTGTTTGGATTTTGCTGTGTCCACCGGTTGCTCTGTCTTCTTTACAGCGTCAATGTTACCCGTTTTAGTGGTCGGTGAGATGAAGATTTTCGACTGTTCCTTAGATTTCTCCGTGATTCTGCATAATTTGATGGCCTTTTCGAGTGTCAAATCCGCCTCGCGTAGCATTCGCTCTCGTAGTTTGATATCATTTATGCCCATCACAATCTGATCTCGTATCAGAGAATCCTTAATCGCTCCGAAATCGTAGTATTCAACTCTTCTTCTGAGATCTGTGACAAATATGTCAAACGAGCGGTATTCTTGGGTGGTCTTTCTGAAGACGTATCGTTCGTAAGTTGTATTATTCCGAGGAACACAATACGTTTCCAGCGCTGTTAAGATACCTCCAACAGTCCTTTGCGTGATATCTTCGGGAATATTTGGTAGAGTTTTGAGCACTCGTCTTGCTTTGGTACCGAGAATACTATGGATAGTTGCTATCTGTATGGCATCATCCTTTTCGCGAAGGCCACTCGATATCCGATACAATTCCAACGTTTCTTTCCATTCCTTCCATACATCTGCGAGATTGAGACTATCAATATCTAATTCTGAGGGAGGTTTGATACGTTCCATGTCAAATAAATAAATAAATAAATAAATAAATGAATAAATAAATGATTTAACAATGGACATCCACTGGGTGGCTATTCTTGTCCACTGTTCCAGATCGAATTGGAATTTGGAAATGTTGGTTTTTTTGTCGGAATTAGTAGTAACTGTCATTGAGGTGAGAAAATTTTGTAATGTCGGAATTAGGAGTCAGAAAAGTTTCACTGAAAGAGATCCTGCTACCATGTTATGAGTTCAACTTCAAGAGCTTCATTAAGTAGTTTCACACTGCACGTGATCCCTGAGATCACGTGACTTACAATCCCCTTATCATAACAAGCTGTGCAACCCAGGTAATGCGGATAGCCCAATAAACAAGGCAGCGCCGAAAAAATTGCTGGCAGTGGCCTAAGATATAAGGATTCAAATAATTTGTACCAACGATTGGGACGGAAAGGTCTTGTGTGTATTTTGACGAGACTGCCATTGTCGAGTCGCTCATCGCTTCCAAGGGTCACAAACACGACGAGAACAGTCTCCGCAATTTTGAAACACTACGAAGGGATTTCCAAGGATTCTGCGACATAGTGAATTAAGGTTTGTTCTCAACTTACTTTCTGGTCAAAAGCAGTTTGTACAAAAACGTCAAAGATAAGTGACTGCCCGTGTTTGCACATACGTTCTCGACAAAACCGCGAGGTTCGAAAGTTCGCGCATGCTCAAATGGCGATCTTGGCGAGTTCCTAGTCTGATGACGTGGTTGTCATTGAGGTGAGAAAATAGAAAGTCCCCCCTCAGATTTCTCGTATTTCCTTCAGTGAAATTCCTTAAAATTTGGCAGAGATGTTATACCTTTTTAGCTTTCCTTGCTGTCAATTTATCAGAAAATTTTGTAAGACAAGTTTTTCGCTAATGCTAAAAACAAAAAAAACCACCTTGACAACCCCTACTTTTTTCGATTTTAAAAGTTTCTTATTGTCAGACTCTACCCGGTCGGAGAATATCGGAAAATTTTACCGAAGGAAATTGAAGAAAATTGAAATCAAAGCCAAACAGACGTCAAAAAATGGCCATATCTGAGTAGTTTTAATTTGGGACTAAAAGCCTTGACTTCAGAGGTGACTGTTGTACAGCAAATGTTGGCCCTTGTTTGGTACGTTTCAGTAGCTTTGATTTGAAAAAATAGCAAAAACAACGAGAAAATTAACTTTCGATTGATGTCACTAGCGTGCGCTTCGTGATCTTGCATAACCCTATTGAGCCACCTTAAGACCGCAAATTATAAGGCGAATAAATGAGGACCGGAGAATCTTATTTAATACATATTACAAATTCCGAGTCAATAAAAACAAACGAAACATTACCATGTGCGTTTGACAGCTTGACCCAAAAGTAAAATGAAAAATATAAAGTAAAAGACTAGTAGATTCCTTAGATGATTCTAGTGTTCTGGATACGTCAAAAGTAGGTATTTCGCAAAACGTGTAGTGGCTGTGTTTTCAATCGAAAGCGAAGAGTCGGTCGCCAGTAGCACGTGCGTCTGACAACTCGCTGGTCACGGCTCGATTCTTACTTCAAATTCTGGCCCTTTATCTCGCTTTGTAGCAGCAATCCATTTCGATCTCAATTAAGAATTTGAAGGAAAATTGAAAAAAGATAAATTCTCCCCACTCTGATTTATCTTGTCATTTATACAGAAGTTAACAGAGCAATGATCGTGGGCCATGCTTACATGTAATATATCCCTACTGTAAACCTGTAAAGATTAGTGTAACACACCCCCTGACTTTATGCCCGTCCAGCCTCGATTTGGTGCTTCACGCAATCCAAGATGGCGCTACGTGATAAAGGTGTATGACGCTGAGTGGCACACAAGGCGCAGCCGAGTGTGTCACTGATGTTATCACACATTTTGACGTATTCTGTGATCTATTATTGTGGAGACCCATTGCAGCATAGAGTTTTAAATGATGAAAAAGCAAAAATTTTTTCTTGTTTAAGTAATCTATACATTTGTCCCCCAATAGTTCATTCGGTTAGAATCAATCAAAACGCATAATAGTTCAGCTTATAACATAAAGCCTACTTCTGTAACCCTTATCATTATTAGATAACACTAGGCAACCGCTGCATATTTGCGCTTTCAAACTAAGCCGTATTCTTCCTTCGCAACTCAATAACGCTGAGAGCAAGGCCTTTTTAGATTTTGCTTCGTAACTCAGCTGGTGGTCGCGTCCAATTAGTATCTTGGAGGCACGCGTTTGAATCCATCAAAGCCTGATCTTTCAGGTATATAATATGCAATCGCTAGAATTGCATCTAACCCGCGAGGAACACTGACTTAATTGATTTTTAATCCGCAGGTCAATTGAAACTGAATAATTTAGTCACAAATTGAATCATTCCTCCGCAGGAAAGAGAATCCTGTAAAATTTTCCTGATTGGCTTCGTGGCTCATGTTAATATTAGCGCCCAACTTGTTAGCAGGTATAATTGTAAATTTCACTTTGTACAAGACCCAGGTTATCATATGACGTTGCGACATCAAAATGCTGAGATCCTAGCTCGTTGAAGCGAATTCGTAGGGTACTCTTGAGAAAAACTTTTGCCCGCGTTAGTTCACCCAGCTGACAGCATAAAAGCCCCAGGTTATGGTATGAAGTTGCAACATCAACATGCTGAGGTCCTAGCTTTTAAAGCGAATATCTAGGGCACCCTTGTGACAATCTTTTGTTGCATTAGTTCACCCAGCTGATAATGTGTAAGACCCAGGTTATGGTATGACGTTGCAACATCAACATGACGACGTTCTAGCTCTTTCAAGCGAATATCTAGGGCACCCTTGTGCCAATCTTTTTCCTACTTTAGGTCACTCAGCTGACAGTGTATAAGACCCTGGTTATGGTATGACATTGCAACGTCAACATGATGAGGTCATAACTCTTTCAAGCGAATATTTAGGGCACGCTTGTGAAATCTTTTGCCTACTTTAGGTCACCTTGCTGGCGGTGTACAAGACCCAAGTCATCGTATGACGTAACGACACCAACATACTGAAGTCCTAGCCATTTCAAGGCAATATCTAGGTCACGCGCGTGACGATCTTTTGCCTGCTTTAGGTCACCCGGCTGAAGGTTTACAAGACCCAGGTTAAGGTATGACATTGCAACATCAACATGATGAGGTCCTTGCTCTTTCAACTGAATACCGAATGCACGCTTGCCACAATCTTTTACCTGCTTAAGGTTGCCCAGCTGACGGTGTACAAGACCAAGGTTATCTTATGACGTTGCGACATCAACATGCTGAGTTCCTACTTCTATCGACCGAATATCCAAGTCACGCTTGTGACAACGTTGTGCCCGCTTAAGGTCACCCAGCTGACGGTGTACAAGACCCAGGTTATCGCATGACACTGCGACATCAACAAGCTGAGGTCCTAGCTCTTTCAAGCGAATATCTAGGGCACGCGCGTGGCAATATTTTGCCTACTTATCGTCACCTCGCTGACTTTTTACAAGACCCAAGTTATCGTATGACGTTGCGACATCAACATTCTGAGGTCCCAGCACTTTCAAATGAATATCCAAGGCACGCTGGTAACAATCTTTTGCCTGTGACATCAATATGCTAAGGTCCCAGCAATTTCAAGCGAATATCTAGGGCATACTGGTGACATTCATCTGCCTGCTTTAGGTCATCTAGCTGACGGTGTACAAGACCGAAGTTATCGTATGACATTGTGACATCAACATGCTGAGAACCCAGCACTTTCAAGCGAATATCTAGGGCAAACTGGTGACAAGCACATGCCTGCTTTAGGTCACCTAGCTGGCGGTGTACAAGACCCAAGTTATCGTATGACATTGCGACATCAACATGCTGTGCACCCAGCACTTTCAAGCGAATATCTAGGACAAATTGGTGACAAGCACATGCCTGCTTTAGGTCACCTAGCTGACGGTGTACAAGACCCAAGTTATCGTATGACATTGCGACATCAACATGCTGAGGTCCTAGCCCTTTCAAGCGAATCTCTAGGGCACGCTTGTGACGATTTTTTGCCTGCCTTAGCTCTCCCAGCTGACTTTGTACAAGACCCAAGTTATCATATGACGTTGCGACATCAACATGCAGAGGACCTAGCTCTTCCTAGCGAATATCTAGAGCAGGCTCGTGAAAATCTTTTGCCAGCCTTAGATCATCAAGCTGACGGTATAAATGACACAGGTTATCGTATGACTTTGTGAATTCAGCATGGTTAGATCCTAGCGCTTTCCAGCGAATATCCAGGGCACGCCCGTGACAATCTGTTGCCTGGTTTAAGTCACCTAGCTGACGGTGTACAAGACCCAAGTTATCGTACGACGTTGCAACATCGACATGCTGAGGTCCTAGCCCTTTCAAGCGAATATCTAAGCCACGCTCGTGAAAATCTTTTGCCTGCCTATGGTCACCCCGCTGACTTTGTACAAGACCCAAGTTATCGTATGACGTTGCGTCATCAATATGCTGAGGTCCCAGCGCCTTCAAGCGAATATCTAGGGCACACTTATGACAATCATCTGCCTGCTTTAGCTCACCTAGCTGACGCTGTACAAGACCCAAGTTATCGTATGACATTGCGAGATCAACATGCTGAGGACCCAGTACTTTCAAACGAATTTCTAGGGCACGCTGGTCACAATCTTTTGCCTGCGTTAGATCACCCAGCTGACTTTGTACTAGACCCAAGTTATCGTATGACGTTGCGACACCAACATGGTGTGGTCGAAGCTCTTTCGAACTAATATCTAAAGCATGCTCGTAACAATCTTTTGCCTCCTTTAGATCACCCAGCTGACGGTGTACAAGACCCAGGTTATCGTACGACGTTGCAACATCAACATGCTGAGCTTCTAGCCTTTTCAAGCGAATATCTGGGGCACGCTCGTGAAAATCTTTTGTCTGCTTTAGGTCACCTAGCTGACGGTGTACAAGACCCAAGTTATCGTACGACGTTGCAACATCAACATGCTGAGGACCCAGCACTTTCAAGCGAATTTCTAGGGCACGCTGGTCACAATCTTTTGCCTGCGTTAGATCACCCAGCTGACTTTGTATTAGACCCAAGTTATCGTATGACATTGCGACATCAACATGCTCAGGACCCAGTACTTTCAAGCGAATATCTAGGGCATGCTGGTGACAATCAGGAGACGGGGCCTACAGTTTATTCCTCTTTATACGAGAAGACTAGAATCTCTATCCATTTCTTGATGTTATAGAAAGGTAGCAAATTCTCCTCAGTTATTTTAAGACCATGATTATTGGTCTCAATATTTTCTGCATTACAGAAAGGGAAAGCCGCCGTGTGAGTAACATTATTCGAATAAATCTTTGCAATGTTGATCGAGAACCGGCTTTGATACCCTCATTTAGTGTCTTCAATAGAATGACCGAAAGGCGTAGGATATGGCAAGAAAATGAGGAGCAAGTCTACAGAAGCTTCACAGCATTTCGGAGGGAAGTCAAACGAGGAAACGTTCACGATCGATCTCAAGCCTAATCCCATGAAAGTTTTTAAGTGACTTTTCACTTCTGGTGAGATCAAATTCAGGGATATATTTCTCCTTAATTTCATCTTGATATCCTCTATTCTTTAAACGTATTTTGAAACACTGCGAGTTTTTATTAAACGTGTAGCTTGACGACATTATCCATAGAAGGCGTAAAGCTTCTCCTTTTAAGAATCCTTTATTTGCGCCTGTTGAATGACACGAATAAAAACTTAGGTATTCGAAGGTCTTCGTCTCTTTGTAATGCTTAGAGGCCTCAAAGATCGATATCCAGTTAAACCTTTAGCTTTCGTGTACCTATGCGTTCAAGAATATGACATCTGAGTATGATATTTCAACCGTGAAAGGTGACTGTATAGGGGCACATTTGTTGTGCAGAATGTAGATATTTACCCGTCTTATAAATGCCTTTCATTTGTCTTTGGCTCTGTTCAACAACAAAAAACATCGTCAAAATGCCTCTTCCAAAGAGGCGATTTAGTTTTGCTCTGGGTGCTAATACCCTTTTTTCCATTTTTGTTTGTCGTGGTATTCTTTGCCGTTTCCATTCGGTTTGTGTAAAAAGGTACCCAGTTCCCGGATAATAACTATGAGGATGGTGCGCAAAGCACAGCATGGCCCTTTATCTGGGACAGGTACCTTCACAGGATAAAAACACTTAGATCTTGTGATTATGGAAGGTTTTGAGTAACAAATGATGAACGAGTTTAAGGGTTCTCTCAGTTTTCAACAAACTGAGAAGTTACTTCTAAAGATGTAAGTCTCCCATGTAAAAGAACAGTGCAAGCAGCAGTCGCAAAATCAGCAGTGGTAGAAGTACCTGTGACAGTTACTTTTTGGAGGTGCGATGCAACATTCGTTAATTCGTCAGGAGAAGAGGGCACTGCCTCTTCGTTATAATTCAGTTTGAAATCTGTAGCAAAAAAAAGCTCCATCGTTATTAATCCGATTTGCATGTGTAGCAGCGGCTGTAGCAGCAACTAGACTAAACCTAGGTTGTGCTGCCATTCTTCACTAGGACTATTAAGGTGAGGATTTGAAGATATTTAAACACCGACCTTGTGAACAAAAACGAGATTGCTTTCTCATTGGCGGCAGTGAGTACAAGGCCTCCTTTGAATTCTTACTAAGCAAAATACCGTAGAAATTACGAAAAAAAAAACCCAGTTGTTTGATACGAAACGCATGAATAAATGTAATCTTGATTAGTTCTAGAATGACTGTAATGTAAAACCTGAGTCGTTAATGTTATGTGTATAAACTTCTCTTATTTTAATGGGAGGTTGCTTGATCCTAGTTAGCGAGCACTTTCCGCTACCTTGACGCTTTTCAGTGGTGTTTTCAAGACTATGCTTCGGTAGCTATTGAACTCTCGATTGATCAGGAATGGCACCAAATCTATACAATTAAATCCTATGTACCAACTGGAAAAGCGGTACACTTTTTTCTTTCAACCAAATTTGTTTTAATTGCCTCAGCTTAAATTAAAACTTTCATGGAGTATTTATTAAAATTTACAAAAAGTGCGTAAAATGGTTAAACATGGAAAAATCTGTCAAACGGAATTACTGTAAATCTTGAGTACACATTCACTTTGCAAGCGGTCTTTGTTCTCATCAGTAAGAAAGATTTTCAGTAAATATCTAACTGAAAACTCAGTTGTTTTGCCGCTAAAATTTTCTCGAAGTTAAAATATGCCACTTTTTTTTTCCTTGTAAGCAACTGGGGGAATTCTCGTCGAGAATTTTAGAAATTCTTTCACTTTAACCATGCAGCGGAAGAAAGGGCTTTAAACAGAGCAACCATTAAGTTAAACTGAATTTTAAATAGAAAATTTGACATAAACAAAAAAATTAAATCTTTGTTGTTGTTTTTGGAGTTCAAAATGTCTCCTCCATTTCCACCAAAACAAAAGGTTGGGAATAAATTGCCCCGTGTGGCGCCATTTCACAGGACAGGAAGATGCTTCAGTTTTCTATGGCAATACAGGAAAATATACAGGCAAATGTAGACTAGAATTTTTAACCACTCAGTACACATGCTGTGTCTAAGTGGTCATAAATTATCTAAACGAAATCAGGAGAACCTTCTCACAACTTGCAGTTCGTGTGTAACGGCAGTGATATAGAGTGCAGACGTGACAAAATGACGAAGAGGCATGCAAATTAATAGACTGAACAAACTGACCACTGACAGACAAACAAAGATGGCTTTGTTGCAGACCGTAATTCACAGGGGCTAAAACTGGCATCCATTACTAACAATTATTCATCAAAAAACGATAACCTTACCTGGAATACAGCTAAGGAAGGAGTAGGAGTTAGTTTTCTCTGATAGGACGTCTTCTCCATCAAAGCGTGCCACACCTGTTGTGTCACTCTCCGTCGTTAGTTGGAGTGGACATCCACCCTGTAATAAAAACAAGTATCAGTAGCGAAGAAAGAAAGACAGTATATTTCAGCTTGGTAAAGAACTACAGAAACAGGAATTTTTGTCTTGTCAAACCTGTGTTCAATAGCAACTTTCTTGAACGTGGTTACAATAGATAATTACTTTTTAATACTGGTCTAAGCAACACATTTCAGCGTGAAATTGTTTCACATCCCATCCAGGGGAGAGCTAGTAGCAACATTATCAGCCACTTCATGCTAAAGATGCAACTAACGGATGTGCTCTGAAAAAATGAGCCTTTCCGCCTGTGTGCCGATTTTATCCTTTTTTACCCTCTACTCCTGAACTTGGAAAAACAAGTTAATAATAGCCTGATACTTTTTCCCGAAACCCCTCTTAAATTTACGTGCTCGAATGTCTTGCGCTCTTATCAGCTAAACAACCAAATCTTTAAAACATTAGATGCTTCCACACCTGCACAGAGAACACATGAACAGGCACCGTCAGAAAGAGGGAATTTACCGCTCACCACAACGTTCACGTTGAGATTGCAAACATTTTTCCTAATCAAAATTACCTTCACATGGCCTGGTGAGGGGAAAATATCTCCAACCACTGCAACAGTATTTAGACAATGATTAGCATCAAAGGAATAGAGGAAATTTTTAAAGGTAAATCAAAGAAATCAACAGTGCGTTTTGTTTTCTAAATTTTCCATTTAAATACCGAATACCCTTTAGTAAAATTTACCTCCACGTTGGTCAACATCATTATCTCAATTGGAACAGATAAGCATATATCGATTAGCTTCCAAAAATGTGAAATAACATGTAGACCACGAGTAAAAGTGAAAAAATGATTTTTGTCGTAACTACCTTGTGTCACTTCTGGGTCACTCAGTGATATCTCACTTGTCTCGGGCTAAGGAAAATATAATCAAAAATTGAACCATTAATAAAATAATGCACTTTAATCATATTTAAAGTTTCAGTTTGAAATTTCAAATTAAAAGTAAAACAAGAAGCTGGACTGGAGTTGAGTCATGCCCTTCAGCTCAGCTATTGTGAAATCTAAGAGCTAAATCTTGCATGTAAGCCAGGTTAATGTACTGGTTTCAGTGAAAGTGTTATCACTCATCCACTGCTCTGTTATGATTTGTCTCGAAAAGTGACTTAATACCAAACTTTATTCAAGTGTCAATTTGATCAACTGAGATGCAGTATAAAATAGCCACAACAAAATGTTTACTGTAATACATGTGAAGAAAGAATAGATATCATAAATAATTTTTAAAAATGATCAGCAGTTTCTGCTGGAACAAAAATAGTGAAATCTTTCTAATCTTGATTGTCTAACAAGATCATCAAGTCAACATATCTTTTAAAATTTTTCAATAAAAGTTTATGTGAAAAGATCTGATACCGAATATACTTCAGGTTTCCCTGTTCAAAACTAATGCTAATAACTTAAGTATAGAATGAGACAAGAAATATAAGCGATAGAAACCGACGTTTCGGTGAATCTTGCGCCATTATCAAGGTTACATAATTGTTTGGAACAGCAGTGTTACGTTCTATGGAATAATGCCTATAACGAACATAAGAACGTAACACTGCTCTTCCGAACAATTTCTTAGCACGCTTTAATGCAATCAAGAAATGCACGAACAGGTTTGAATGCCTTGTTAATGAAATGCTGTGTATTAAGATCTTAAACCAGCATTGAATGTACAGTCGGATTCTCTTTGTGCTAAAGTATTCATGTAATTAGCTTCGCACTCTTTTATGCAAATTCGCTTTAACTTAGCCTCTTCACAAACCACATTTTATCATTAACTATGTAACCTTGATAATGGCGCAAGATTCACCGAAACGTCGGTTTCTATCCCTTACATTTCTTGTCTCGTGTATTTGCAAATCGTTTCTTAAGATGTTTCGATTTAATAAAAGATAGATAAACTTGCTAAGTTTCTGTGCCGGCTAGCAAACCTATCAGAGAGTATCCAGATGATAGAGAGTCCCAATGGAAATAAAACACTTTGAGTGCTTTTGAGGATTAATTTTTTTTCATAGCCTATATAGTTGTAATTGTTGCATTTTAAGGTTGCGTTTCTGACTTGTCTGCAGTGTCGAAAGGGCACCAATTAAAGGGTGGTACGCCTTTAAGTATTTTGAAGGTCTTACTTTTGTGGATCTTAGTTTTCTTACACCCGGCTACTGACATCTTATTTTAAACTTCATAGCTTGTTTAATGTTCATTGAATAATAATTACCAATTCCTAATAGTAATTTTATGTACCTCTGCAGATACAAAGCCACCACTGTAATCTGATCCAAACAATGATTCAAAAATCCTGGGGGGCATCTGAAACTGTCTCTCCAAGACTTGTCCATTCTTGATATTGACTTTTTTGTATTCATCATATTCTACTGCTCCTTGACTTTTAAAGGAATCGATGAGAGCTGCAGATAAAGTTTTCCTGGCAGCCTTTTGGTTACATTCCGATGAAAGCTTGGGATAGTTCTTAGCTCTAAACTTATGGTACAGCCGTGGAGCAGTCAGCCAATTTATCCAGTATCGACCATTGTCATCCACGAACTTTGCATGTTCTCCTTCCAAAATAAGATCTTTGACAAAACCATAAACCCCTGGAACTCTTTTACTTCTATGAGATCCTACAATCAAAGTTTGGAAGACAAATGTTTATATGAATCTACACACCCATCTTGAAAACAAGTCCATTCTCATGATAATCTGCAAGGTCTAAATGGCCATTAAATGGAAAGTAATGGCTATGGCGTAAGAACTAATAGCCGGGAGCTGGACATACATATATAAGAGAAGTTGGAGTGCACCTCAAGAGCCTTTGTACCCTAAACTAAATAGGAAAAAATCCTTTCAATTCGCAACCTTATTCATTATAAAAGGACTGTTACACATTTGCTAGTACATTAGGAAAACATTAATTTTAAAAAAATTGTCAAATTTTCTACTTAGAACGCACAGTGCTCCTGGACCAACCCTCTTCAAAACATAATAAAGTCAGCAAAGGCAACTTCTTCAAATGGCTAAATGTGCTTTACCTAACGTATCAAGACCCCACAAAACATAACCTGTTTACCAGTACATACTCACTAGGACCAAAGAAGGAAGCGACAAATCCCCCCTACTCGATCCCATCTAACTTAGACCCAACTAATAACACAGAACCCTAACTAAAAATAAATTTCGTTATTTCTCATGAAACCCGCTTTCTCTTAAAAAACAGCGCAACTTTTCTGGTGGATATTTCCGGTTTATAGGAAGATGAATGGTCGATACTTTCGATCATTTCGTCGCAATTACATGACATTTTTAAATTTGCGTTTAGCAACCGACGGCTCTAAACAGAAAGTTTCCACCGTCCATGTTGGTGTAAAAGTACTTAAACGTTACTAAGATCCTACGAAAAGTAATTTCCACGCATTTACTTCAATAATTTGTTTAAGTTTATCTTCTCCAAGGCTCAAATTTCCTTTGGGAAATTATTATTTTGTTTTTTGGCTGGTGAGGGTACGAATTTCTAGAAAACGATTGAGAGGACAAATGAGTGAAAAACAAATAATTTCAAGAAATGTGTCTGATCGTTGGTTTCCTGCTAAAGCGAAAACTACATGCTAAGCTACATCTCCACATTTTTAACCCTGCTCAGAAATACACACACAAAAAAAATTGATTTGCGAGTGCAGGGAAGTACCCATTCATAGACTTGTCAGGGTTCAACCTAAAGTGATCCTCGAGATCGATCACAACATGGGTAAAGATTTTGACGTTGGAAGGAAGAGCAGCCATGGAAAAAATCACCACTTCTTACCAGCGTCGATTTCTTCTCTTTGTAATGCGTATATTCGTCATGGGTCGATTCCCTGTTAAACATTTATCTTTCTTACACTTTTTGTGTCCAAGAATATGATATCTGAGAATATTTCAACTGTGAATAGTGATTGCATCGTGGCACATTTGATGCACAGAACGTAGCTGTTTACCTGTCAGATAAATTCCGTTCATTTGTCTTTGGTTCTGTTCCACGACAGAAAACGTCGTCAATATACCTCTTGCAAAGAAGCGTTTTAGTTGTGCTCTGGGTGGTACTACCCTTTTTTCTATTCTTGCTTGCTGTTCTATTCTTTGCCGTTTCCGTTCGGTTTGTTTAAAAAAGTACCCACTTCCCGGATAATAACAATGAGCGATGGCACGCAAAGCACACTAGTTGAGTGTGGCCCTTTAAGGGGGGCAGGTACCCTCGAAGGATAAAAACACTTAGATCTTGTGATTATGGAGGATTACGAGTAACAAATGATTAATGAGCTTAAAGTGCATATGACAAGTTTTTCTTTTTTTGACGGATTCTAGTTGCTTACATCGTCTTTAATATACTTATGATATTTAGGAGCAATCCGATAAAAATAAGTACTGCATTTTTTCATTCAAATCGCTGGTATCGCTTCAATTTTTTTACCGCCACTTTGCTCGGCCAGACTATCACGAGACAAATCTCGTGACGACACATGGTACACTTGAGATAACACAACAACAATGGCGGACTCTAATCGAAAGCGTAAAGGAGGGAAAAGATGTGTCGCTGGAGCACCAAATAAGACGACTTGTAGTAATACATCATACACACCTGGTTAGATTCATCAGAGGATTCTTCTGAATCACTAAAACTCTCGAGGTTTTCTTGAGACATCTTTGATGCGTTTTGGTATGGTTTGTGTGGTTTCCAGGGAGAGGTACACCATGTGACATCACGCATAAATTAACTTACAACTATTCGTTACCAAACTCCGGTAAGATACTGGTCGACACTAGCGCAGTTTTGAACGAAAAAAATACACTATTTTTTTTACAAAACATATCTAAACATTTCAGGTATGTTTACAAGACTATAAACAAAGAAAATTCGTCCAAAAAAAAAAGAAAATTGTCAAATGCACTTTAAGGGTTCTCTCAGTTTTCAACAAACCGAGAAGTTACTTCTAATGGTGTTAGTCTCCCATGTAAAAGAACAGCGCAAGTAGCAGTCGCTAAATCAGCAGTGGTACAAGTACCTGTGACAGTTCCTTCTTGGAGGTGCGATGCAACATTCGTTACTTCGTCAGGAGAAGAGGTCACTGCCTCTTGGTTATAATTCACTTTGTAATCTGTAACAAAGAAAAGTTCCATTGTCATAGATCAGCTTTGCATAGGTAGCAGCGGCTGTAGCAACAAATGTAGCAATAAATCTAATCTTGATTAGTCCTTGAATGGTATTAACGTATAAACTAAGTCGTCAATATGAGTAAATATATTATCATATTTTAACGGTTGGTTGTTTGATCTTAGTTAGTGAGCACTTTACGAAACTGCGACGCTTTCCGATAGCCTGAGCGTTTTCAAGACAATGTTTCAGTCGCCATTCGACCCTAGATTGATCAGGAATGGTGCCAAAGTTACACAATCAAATCATATATACCAACTGGAAAAACGGTACACTTTTTTCCTTTAACCAAATTTGTTTTCAATTGCCTCAGCGTGAATTAGCTTTCATGGAGTCCTCGTTACAATTTACAAGTTCTTAAAACGCTTAAACTTGTTAAAATCTATCAAACGGAATTTTTGTAAATCTTAACTACACAATAACTCTGCGCGCGGTTTTTTGATCCCATCAGTAAGAAATATTTCAGTAAATATTTAGCTGAAAATTCAGTTATATTGGAGTTCAAAATGTCTTATTTGTTTCCTCCGAACCAAAGGCTTTTAAGAAATTCAAATCTGGGAATTTGCCCCGTGTGGCGCCACTTCAAAGGACAGGAAGATGCTTCAGTTTTCTGTGGGAATACAGGCAAATATTCAAGCAAATATACAGGCAAATATACAATAGATTTTTTTACCAATCAGAGCGCACGTTGTGTCCAAGTTATGTCTTAAACTATCTAAACGAAATCGGGACGACGTTCTCACAATTTACAGGGCAATCTCACTAAAAATTGTCCGCAGAGAGCTCCATTGCGCACGGCCGTTTAAGCGTTGCCGCAATCAGTTATTTTTAAAGGATCAGAAGACGCTTTCCGTTTTATAACGACTTTCAGGCCTGGATCTATATCTGTTAAGTTTATCGCTGTCGACACGGCCGATATTTGCTGCGAGATTTAGGTAGACCTTTCTATTGTGACACTCGCCAAACGCAAAGCGAAATTAATAAATAAAGGATTTTCAAGGATGTTCTTTGTCGCTCTTTATGCAGAAGCAGAGTTAATTTTTTTAAATTGTGGCAGCAAACACGTTGTTGAGGGATAAATACATTTTTCCAGCGACATTAGAAATCGTTTAATCGCAATTCACTCTTATGATTAATAAATCTTTAATTTTGCTGATCGTGTTGCTCAAAACGGGTTGACTACAGCTGCTCAAAACTTACTGTGGGTACATAGTAATATTTACTGTTGTTCAAGTTAGCGTGGTTTCGTGTTTTCGGTAATTCGGTTAGGTGGCAGAATATAATTGCTGGCGAGCCCTCGCAAGGCAGCAGCCTATTCTTCACAATAGCGAGAAAAAGACAAAATTTGTCGGATGTAAGATCGGAGACATGCTCAGTCGATTGCGTTTTTTATATCCGGGGTTGCTTGTGATGAGATCACGTAAAATGCACGTGGAAATATCGATCGATTTCAAGCGATAGCTATGTACGATAAACGAGATCAATTTTTTAAAATAGGTGTCTTTAATTGCTTGTGGAAGTATTCATAAACTAGTTGGAAAAATCATAATTCTATTTTGAAAAGCCACACCAACCCCTATTATACCGTTTATTTCAAATCGTATTATCAGTACTTCCTTGAATCTTTAACGCAAGCACCCACTTTCACATTGAAACTGCTAGTTCAGTCACTATTTTGAAACCAAACGAATGGGATGTTCTTTACTTCTTTGGAAGCCAGGGGACGTTCGTAATGCAAACTTTCCTCGAAAGAAACAGGAAGAATGGCGGCTACAGAATCTTTCCTACACTGAAATAACTAGCCGAGGTGGATGAGGGGTGACGAGTTAAAATTACTTTCCACGACAAACCATTCATTTAAATTGACAGCATGCGTACTTAGTGGAGGTGTTTACACGATCTTTATCGAAGCTTGAAAATTTGAGCTGCAACTAGCACTGTTGAAAAAGTATTATCGAATTTGTTACAAATATGATCTGCTGTCTGAACTGCACGAGTTAATGTTGTACATGTAATACAACATCAAAATCTGGTAACCTTCGGTGGAACTTTTCTCTTCTTTCCAAGATCCCAATATTTCAAAACCTCGCAAATCTTGAACTTGGTACAGCATCCACTTTGGGAGAGCCCACCCCCCCCTCCCCCGGACTGAGGGTGTAGCGGCCGACACAAGCGAAGCAAAATTTCGACGACAACTATGAGTTTCGCAAATGAAGACACACTATGAAGCGAAGATATATTTTACGGACAAGCCTTGAATCGTTTTATTTAACGTAGTCGTGGTATCCAAGTACTTATCGTAAACTGAAATATGAATTTATAAGGAAGAAGCTA